TAGTGTAGACAGCAAATAGATGTTTTCCATTTTTAGGGAGGTTGGAGTAAGAGCACTTAACTGGAGAATGTGTAACTCATTGCCAGCGTAGATGGTCCACCTCTGACTTTATTTAAAGAAATGCATAAAGTGCTTTGCTCCTGGGGTTGCCTGGGATAGGGCAGTGCTTGCCAAATGTCTGGTGCTCTGTCAGCTCCAACTGCCCAGCCTCAGAGTGCCTGATCTCCTCCCACTAACCCCGCGCTTTACAATTAACAGATCATATTTTTACCATGTCTTTTTTTCATTCTTCTCACTTTTGCTTCATAAAAACCTTCCTTTTACTGTTGAGGAAATCAGCATGCAGGGAGGCTAAGTGTCCTTAGGATACAGTTAACTGGTGTCAGAGAAAGTGCCAAGATCCAGGTGTCTCACATTCCATACTAACTGGTATAAAAAGAATATGAATTGCTAAAGGTATATATTTGCTCAAGGAAGGGAAGAATATTTTCCTTAAGGATTTGAGAAGATCTCTTTTTGAATTTGAAGTTATCCTAGGACGCTCAAACATAGAATCTTATTCTGATTGTTTTTTTTACCAACCTCATTCAATCCCTGAGTGCTTGCTTGGTGGCAGGAACTGTGGAATGTAATGGAAAGCAAGACAGGAGTTGTTTCTGCCTTCTCAGGAGCCCTCCTATTCTTCACTTTTTTAACATCTTTTTTTCTTCCATTGATATCCCCCATACAAGTGCCCATACACAGTCCATCCTTAAGCTCCACTCTCAGTCCCCTACCAAGTTCAGATCTTTGTGGTAAGTACTCTACTTGATGACCATTTTAAAAAGAAGCAAGTTCCCTGCAGTGGTTTTCACATCCTCTGAGCCTGTGGCAGTCTAATTCTTATGAAACTCAAGGAACTGGGAAAATTTGTTAATTTATTCTCCTAAGATCTCTATATATTTATAAAAGTAATCTGGTGCCCTGGAGAATTCTTGCATATTCAAACCAAAGGCCTAATTATGTTAATTGAAGCTTCCTAAATTTCAATTCTCTTATCTGTTGAATGAGAACATACTGATATACAGAAAAGCATTTGAAAAGTATGAAGGACCATGTAATAAAGGTATCACCATCATCAGCAACAGAGAAAATAGAATACGATAGAGTGCCAGGTACTAAAGTAAAACATTTGCTATCAAGTGAATGAAACCTCAGCTGAAAAAAATCCTAATAAATGGTCACTTTAGCCATATATGTAGAATAACAAAAGAAAAAAAAGTCACAAAAGCAGTAGCTTGTGCTTAAATTTAGCTCCTTTATAAGATACTAGTTTTTGGCTGGACATGGTAGCTCATGCCTATAATTCCAGCACTTTGGGAGGACAGGTGGGAGGACTGCTTGAGCCCAGAAGTTCAAGACCAGCCTGTGCATCATATTATAACAAAACCTCATCTCTACAAAAGAAATTTTGTGTGGCATATGGTTGCATGTGTCTGTAGTTCCAGCTACTTGGCAGGATCACTTGAGCCCAGTAGTTGGAGCCTACAGTGAAGCATAATTGTGCCACTGCACACCAGCCAAGGTAACAGAGTGAGACTCTGCCAAAAAAAAACAAAAAAAGTACTAGTTCTCTGAAATGCAAACTACAATTTTATATCACTAAATGAAATACAAAGTTTTTATTTTTGATTATAAGATTAATTTCGGCAGGATAGACAAGAGTTCCAAAAACACCTCAAATACTGATGGAGATGTAATTTAGTGCAACATTTGGGGGGCAATCAATGCATTTCAAGAGCCTTTTAAACCTATGCATGCACATCCATTCCACTTCCAAGAATTCATACTGGGGAAATAAGGGTGTAAATAAAAAGGTAGCAGATAGCCATAAAGATGCCATCATGTTGTCATTTAAAATATTAATAGTATAGCATAGTGGTTACAATTATGGCATCTCGAATCACTAAGTTGCTAAATTCAAATATTGGCTTTGTTACTTGTCGCCGAGATAGTGGTCATATCAAATTTTTAATTTCTACGTTTGTAAAATAAGGGTGACAACAGAACCCATTTCACGAAGTTGCTGTATATACATACCAAAATACCTCTGAGGCACTCAAACAGGACATCTTGAAAGTGCTCACAATGTTAGGCTGTATTCATCGTAATAAAAAGTTAGATATAATCTATTTAATAAAACTGCTTCATTCAAGCAATGTAATACTGTATGTGTTAGTCCATTCAGGCTGCTATAACAAAATATCAGACTGAGTAATTTATGAACAACAGAAATGTACTGCTCACATTTCTGGAGGCAGTTAAGTACAAGATCAAGGCACCAGCATATTCTGTCTGGTGAGGGCCTGCTCTTCATAGATAGCACCTGCTGTGTGTCCTCACATGGCTAAAGGGCAAAAGGGTAAACAAGCCCCTTAGGGCACTAATCCCATTTGCAAGAGTTCTTACCTAATGACTTGGTATCTCTCAAAAGCCCTACCTTTTCCACCACATTACGGACTACGTTTTAATACATGAAATTTGGGGGAGACACAGTACTATATATCAATTAAAATGATAGTGTAGATAATATTTGACTTGGAAAGATATTTACTAAAGGGAAAAAGCAGGCTACAAATGTGATTGAATCCAAGTAGATGTTTATTAGGTTATCCAGTGTACCTGAACTTGTTTTGGACTCAGATCCATCTCTCTAAATATTTAGTTGCATCTCAAAATAGTAATAGTCATATAGTATTAATATCAGTTTCTTTACCTTCTTGGGTAAGAGCCGTTGGGAATTTTTCCTACACTAATATGCTTTTGGTACTTATTGTATTGCAAGCTAAATGACTTCTGTTCTAAATAATAAAATAGAAACATTACTTTTGCTAACTGGTAAAGTCATCCATGCTATAACAAAAGTGCCAAGATGCCACCTAATTTAATAATGCTACTAGAGTAATTATACACATAATGTACCACATCAAGAAATACCACAACTATCAGCTTTCAGATGACTGTAACAAATTTTAAAAGCATGAACTGTGATTCTATCTAACAATGTTTATTATGGGATATTCAAAACAGATGTACTTATAATTTACAATAGTGATGTGGAATTTTAAGAATGACATTTGTCGAATGTAAAACTACTACTAAATGTTAATGCTACCTTGTCCAACTGAAAAGAATCACTTAAAGAGTATAGACTTAGTGTGACTTCCATTTCAATGTTTGAATAGGGTTCTTGATTTGCATTGAAAACAAAAAGAAAACAAAATGCTATACTACCCTTTCACAGTTCATGAATGTCTTCACACCTAAGAGATAGCTACTTGTTACCCAGGTCTTTGCTACTCCAACAATATAAAGCTTTCTTCTTCTAATCTTCACAAAAGCTGACCATTCTGTTTGAAGTAGTATTGTGCTCACATACTTACACTGAATATTACTAGCATGGAAATACTTAAATTCTTTCCTAAGTATTATAAATAAGATCTCTGGCTAGAGATAGCAAAGTCAGAGGCTTGAATGAAACTTCAGCTGAAAAAATCCTAATGAATGCTCACTTTAGCCATACACACAGAATAACTAAAGAAAAAAAAGTCACAAAAGCAGTAGCTTGTGCTTAAATTTATCCTAATTAATGCTCACTTTAGCCATATACACAGAATAACTAAAGGGAAAAAAGTCACAAAAGCAGCAGCTTGTGCTTAAATTTAGCTCCTTTATAAGATACTAGTTTTTGGCTGGACACGGTAGCTCATGCCTGCAATCCCAGCATTCTGGGAGGACAGGTGGGAGGATTGCTTGAGCCCAGGAGTTTGAGATAACATAATGTATTTTTATATATCTATATCTATTTCTTTTCATGATTAACAATTTTATATGCAGGATATATAAATCTCATCAATTTTGATAGCTTTGAACTTCTTTGTTATGAAATTTTACTTCAACTTTGGGCATCCATCTTTGGAACTAAAAAGGGTGGTGATATGTTTTATAAAAATTCTCTGAACAGAGTCAGAGGATGGTAAGCACAGGAAAAAGATGGCAAATAAAAGTGAATACTCACAATCAGTCACCTCCCAAGCTAAGGGATGTCAGTTATAGTCAGCTGGGTAATGCTGTAACCTGCTAACAGTGCAGTTTTCCTTGGCTTCTGGTAAAGGTAAAGCTGATCTCACCACTTCATGCCCGGGACAGGTAGACAAAACCCCACAGAGATTAGCATCAGTCTCAAGATCAGATGAATTGACTTCTGGCTACGAAGGGATTTAAACTAGAGTAACAGGTTTAAAAAAAAAACAAAAACCCTCTTTCTGCCATAGTGAGGCAGGTTGCTTCTGGTTTCAGGCAGGTAAGTTACTTATGTCCACATGATTACTTTCTGGTTGCATTTATGATTACTTGAACAAAATGATAAATACTCTAGTATTATTTCCAGTCTTCAGCCTGATGGAAATCTGCTCAGTTAAACAAAGACTTAAGTTCTATAAGTCTTTTCTCATGACCTCCTTTCCCCCCTGACTGGTATGTGAAAGACAAAAAATGAGTACTAAATTCTTTAAATCCAAAAATTTGTAATTCCATTGCCACACAAGATAAAGTCCTGGGGTTTAGATTTCAGCTCCGAGAGTCAGAATCCCTAAAAAGAATCCACTAAGAAGAAAATGCAAAGAGTTCTTGCTCTAGAAACCTTGCTCATAAACTTCAGATACTTTTAGTTCTCCTTTTTCACTCCTACAGAAATATATTATGGCCCATATTTCATTTCTGGCTCTTAATACCCTCCAAAGGCCATTCTGAAATGCATTCTGCCTTCTCTTTCACATTGATTTTATTAGCTGGCCTAAAAGAGAGTTTTTGCCAAATTGGTTTTAATGTCTTCAATTACTACTCAAATGTACTCATACAACACAGCTCAAAACACAATACTTTTAAAAATTATTAGTTGTTAGATTTTAAAGAGACTAAAGTCAGCTTACTGCTGAAAACACACAAAAAGGACAAATTGATTGAAATTTTCACAAGAATGGAAAATGTTTAATAAACTCAGAATGGTGGGCTTATTAAACTATAGTGTTATTTACAGCCATAATTCATCAACCACAAACACAATAATGTGTTTGCATGGCATGCTACAACAGAAGCTTTATTCAGTTCATTCAGAAAACATTGGCAAAATAAATTTCAGTTGCAAATTCACAGATACAAGCTTTAAAGTATAAAGTTGTATATAACAAAAAATACAGGTAATATTTATAACAATAACTTACAGATACAAACTAATGATAAACTACAATTTCACAAAAGATTGTAAACATTTTGCACACTTGTCAGTCCTTTCTTTTAGGCAAAGTGCTCTTTTGATGGCAAATAAATTAACAGATATACACTAGAGTGAACTATTTCCAGACAATACAAAAAATGTTTTGATTTGTTTTCTTCTTGTAAACATAAGTTTTACAAAAATGAAGAATCAATAAAAGTGTCTTGCAGGCCAACTACAGATACATACCTGGGCAGCAAAGTGATGTTGGAAATGCTTTACGTGTTAAATAAAAAATGAACAGTAATATCTTTTCAATGGTATTTTATACATAAGAAACGACAAATTCATATCCTTAATCAATTCTATCCCTGAAAAAAGAATTAGGTATGACTTATTGGCAGTTGTGTCATTGAATGGGGTAACAAGGGCTGGAGTCCAAGAGTTGTTGGTGAATGAGCTACAAAATAGAAAGAAATTTGTGGATCAGTTTTGTATGGTGAATAAAACTGATTTATAAACAAACAAAAACAATCCAAGGCAATGTTTTCATCACTCATTGTAGCTGAGGGCACCAAGCTACACTCATTCCACTCACCTCAGCTGCAGCATTAACTTATTCAGCATAGTAAGAGTCCAGGAACAGATTTACCCCAAAATCTTTATTTGGGGCCACAGTATTTTGCCACTTTAATGTCCTCCATCCATACCCCATTCACTGCACTTCACTCTACAGCTAGAAAGGGATGGGTTCAGCTTCAGAGATGCTGCTGGCTTTCTCATGAAGGTGTTTGTATAGGACGATCTTCCTCAAGTTTCTTTCATTAATGTTTACCTCCTCCCTAGGCATACATCAAAACACACTGGACTCAGGCAACACTACTGTCTTTCATGTGAACACAATCAATTTTAATACTAGTATAAGTAAACGGCAACAATGGTACAGGCTCTGATTTTTTACTAAACCAAAACTTGGAAGTTTCTGCTTTCAGCAAGGGCTACGTTGCTTCAAACCAAACCTTTCTCTGAGACCATCTAGGAAATCTGGATAAAACTTTAAAAAATCTGTTTGAAGGCATCTGAAAGACACTTAAGTAGTGAGGACTTACAAAGTCAAGTCCCAGAATGGAGGGAAAGGAAATAAGGATGCTTTTTCTCCCACAAGGATAATGACAATTTAAAACAAAACAAATGTCTGATAGGCTGAGAAGTTTAGCAGAGCATTCAGAAGTTAGACTTTGGCAGAGTGGTGAGAAAATTCAAGAGCAGGGCCCGCTGAGAAGGAGAAGCCTTAGTTAAAAACGACAAAAGAAAATAAAACAGGGATTCATTTGTGATTCCAAAGGGCTAAATCAAAGGAATAGTAAAACAAAAATATACCAGCCCTCCTGAGGATTGGTGCCTGATTGGATTAAGTTGATTTCGCCTTGTCCTGACTTTCTGGGAGTAAAACTAGCCTTCTCTAGCGGAAGGTTATCATTCAAAGTCTCAAATTATTTTTATTTTTCATATCCAACATCTGAAATGCAACAGCAAATAACAAGACAAATAATAAGACATGACTTGAAAGAAAATAAAGAGGAAGAAAAAAAATAGACCCACCAAAGATCCATATATTGCAGTTATCAGACATGAGTTTTAGTATCACTATAATTAGTATAACAATTTAAATAAGGATAAAGTGACAAAATAGATGATTTCAGAATATAAACGGAAACCTTAAAACTGAAAAACACAAATAAAATTAAGAACTTATTGGATGATTTTTTTTTACAGGATATTAGATATAGAGAGTATTAGTGAACTAGAAAAATTGTTCAAAAGAAAATGTGAAATTTTTTTCATAGGAACAGAAACAATATTTAAGGAGACAAAAGCTGAGAATTTTCCATAATGAAAGACATCAAACTACATATTCAAAAAGCACACCTAGGCACAGTATGATAAAACTTTTACAAGACAAACACAAAGAGAAAAGTTGAGGAAAAAAGATTTATTTTCAAAGGAGCAAGAAGGTCAATATCTGACTTTACCAATAAATGGGGCCAGGTTAACTAGCTTCCATATGCAAAACAAATAATGAAAATCAGAAGACAAGGTACTTATATCTTCAAAGTGCTGAAAGAAAATAACTAACAACCCAAATTTCTACGTATAGAGAAAATACCACTTACAATTGCATCAAAAGAAATACTTAGAGAAGATGTGCAAGATTAATAAGCAGAAAACTCTAAATCATAAGAGATGATTTAAAGATGATCTAAATAAATGCAAAGACATACTAAAGTCCATGGTATGGAATACTGTTTAGATGGCAGTTTCCTAAAATTGATCAATATAGTTGCTGTAATAGACTGTATCAAGATCTTAATTGCTTTCCCTATTGGGGTGGAAATTGACAAGTAGGTAAATTTTACGAAAATACAAAGGGCCAAGAAATGGGCAATACAAACTTGAATAACAACAAAATAGGAAGAATTGTATTATCAGATATTAAGAATTATAGACCTAGCATGATAAGAATGGTTAGGTAGCAACACAAAAATAAATAGACCAATAAAACAGAAAGTACAAAAATTGACACAAGGGGACACTTGATTTACGGCAAATGTGTCTGTACAGAGAAGCTTGAAATTTTCTATTTTCATCAACATAACAAAAAAGCTTCACTTCCTATCTCATACCACACACAAAATTCAATTCCAAATGAACTGTAAATCTACGCAAAGGTAAAACAAAGTTTCTATATGATATCATAAAAGATATATCTTCATTATCTTTGAGTAGAAACAATTTCTTTCACATGTCACCAAAAAAAGGACTGCTCATGAAGGAAGTATGAAATAAACTACATTAAAATTAGGAACTTGTGCTCAATGAAACACTCCATTAAGAGTAGAAAAAGCCAACTTACTGAGCAGGAGAAAATATTCTAAGCACATAAAATTATCAAAAATTATATGCAGATTATACCAAGAACTAAGGCAGATCAATTTAAATAATAATAAAGACAAGCCAGTAGGTCAATAAACAGAAAGACTTGTACAGCTCTTCATAAAAGAGAATATACAAATGCCTGATGAAAAAATTCTCAGTCATCAGGGAAAGGCAAATTAAAATATTATTGCACTACACTATCATCAAATTTGCTAACATTAGGAAGTTATACCATACCAAGTGTTGGTGTACCTTGAACCTTGCTGCTGGTCAAGGTGTAAACTGGTTCAACCACTATGAAATACTGTTTGTCAGAATGACTGAAGTTGAGCATACACGTAGCTCATGACCCAGGTACATATCTAATAGAAATGTGAATTAATGTGCACAAAAGGCATGTACAACAAAGTCCATAGCAGTAAATTCATGAAAGCACAAACTGGAAAAAACACAAATATCTATCAACCAGGAAACAGAAAAACTGTGGTATATTCCCACAGTGGATTTCTGTATAACAATGAAAACAAATAACTGATTCTCACAATAATATAGGTGAATCTCGCAATGTAATTGAAAGAAGTGAGACACATAATACATTCTGTATCGTTCAAAAAAGGGCAAAACTAAAAGATGGTTTTAGAAGTCAGTGCTATGTTACTTTGGGAGAAAAGGACAATAATTAGAAAAAGGCATAAGAGAGGCTTCTGAAATGCTAATTATGTCTGCTACTTTTTTTGGGCAGTATCTATATGGATACATTCATTTTATTAATTCATCAAGCTGTACGGTTATTACATATGCACTCTTTTAAATGTATGATTTGCTTCAATTAAAAAAAATTTCTGTAGCAAAACTTATTAAACTCCCATCTAAAGTTCTGAGTGTGAACACTTGCTCTGATCATAATAAAGTATTTAAGCACATATTGGTAAAAACAAAAAAAATTCTGAGTAAAAATCAAGCATTAAGAGTCATTATCAATATTTGCAACTTAGCTGCAAAGTGAGTATTAAACTTCTTCCTTAAAATGTAATCACAGAAAATGTTTTGTTCCCTACTGTACCCCCCACAATATTTTTCAGCTACTACTGAGGTAATATTTCAAAATGTGAATTGTATCAATAATCTAATACTAGAAGTTACCAGTTGTTGATTGCTTGGGAGACAGCTGTTAAATGTTGGGATACCTACCATCCATATAACTATGCAGCGCAGTTAACATTGTTCCATCTTGGGGCACGTAGGCAGAATAAGCCATTTCTTCTAACATGGGTGGAGACAGCCTGGAGGGTGGGACTGCTGTGACTGGGGCAGAGGAGGAGTGATTAGGACTGACATGTTTCTTGTGGCGTGCTCTACAATTCTGAAACCACACCTGAGAAGGGAGAAAAGCAACGGAAGTAGGTAGATCACACACCAGCTTCCAAGACATTACCAACTCAGTTTAAAAATGAATGTGACCTCAATCACACTACCACACAAGCACAGCATAAATATAAATAGGCTTTTTAAAAAATTCTATGTGAAAGAAACATTTTGGTCCAAATAACAATGGTCATTTTTTTCTTGCTCAGGTGATAGTTCTCTGGTGATTTACTTAAAAGCCAATTCTATTTAAGTGGGAAAGGGGACTGATTGCTTATGGGATTCTGGTCTGTTGAATTTGAGTTGGCCAAATCTTAAGGTTACCCCTTGAATGCAATTATTAACCTCTATTAGATTTGGCTGGGTGCTGTGGCTCATGCCTGTAATCCCGGCACTTTGGGAGGCCAAGGCAGGCAGATCACCTGAGGTCAGGAGTTAGATACCAGCCTGGCCAACATGGTGAAACCCTATCTCTACTAAAAATACAAAAGTTATTTTTAGTAGAGATAGGGTTTGGGCATGGTGGCTGTAATCCCAGCTACTCGGGAGGCTGAGGCAGGAGAATTGAGTGAGCCCAGGACGTGGAGGTTTCAGTGAGCCATTTTCATGCCACTGTATTCCAGCCTGGGTGATGAATATTTTGTATCCGTTCAAAAATAAAACAAAAGCCAAAACAAAAAAAATACCCAAAAGTTCTATTAATTTTAAAAAATAAAAATAAAAGCCATTTCTATACTAAAAGAGCATCTTCCATAGAAAAGGCAGGGAAAGGCCTCAGGAATTCCAGAGAAATCTCCCTGGTTTTACTACTGGCATTTAGGACAAAAAGAAAAGCAGAAAAATCTCTTTTAATCAGAACTTAAAAAAAAAAAAAAGACTACTGAATGTATTCTTAGACACCTGCTGGACTTATTTCAAATCCTTGTTCAAACGACTAAAATCCCTACTGAGAAAAACCTTTCTACAAACCTCTTGATTCAGTTATTCCAGTCACATTTTAACCTGCTGAGTTCAATTTCATCTTGGTGAATACATAGGCTATTCTCGAAGAAGCATGTTAAGGTCAGGTCTATAATAGCAAAAAACTCATAATATTTAAGTAGAATTATAGACAAGCACATCCACTGGTGAGAGTTCACAAAATGTAAAGTTCTAACCACCCTGCTGTCCACTCTACTACAGAAATAAAGGAAGCAAATTCGGGGCAAGACATCCAGGTCAGGGCAAGTAAGTCTAGACTGCCCAGAATGCTTCCAGTAACTAATATGCCTGTGTTTGAATTCCCTGCCAGATGACAAAACTTGACCATAGAGTGTTACTTTATTAAAATACTGTATCACTTATTTTCCATCACTCCAAACAATTCTGTCATGAGAGGAAAGAGAGGTGAAGGGATAAAAACTTAGCATGAGAATATTTTGGGGATATAAAACCAGGAAAACACCAGGGGTATAAGTCTGTTCAAGGCTGGTGATGGGGCCTTGTTGGCACAAGGGAATCAGGACTAATTAATGTGGAACAAAAGGAAGCTGCAAAGAATTTATAAGAAAAAGCTGGCCTGACTTCAAAAACACACCCCGCACCTGACACTCAAAAATAGAAGGTTGACAAAGTGTACTCTCAAGGGTGATTAAAACTAAAAGAAAGAAAATTAATAACTTAGTGAGATACATAGCCTTGAGCAGGTGGCTGTAATGCAGCACCTAAGGAATGTTTCTGGGACAAGACTTAGACATGTATCAAGGAAGATGAGTGGGAAGTCACAGCCTCCCCACATCCCTATTCTCTGGAGTGTTAGAGAGACTCGGAGGCCCCAAAACTCCACAGTTCTGCCCATAGGCTCTGGAACAATAGATGTCACTACTAACACTAGCCTCACCCAAACAAGATGACACTACTCAAACATTCTCCAATGTGTAAGGGGGAACTGCTGCCACCTGCCTTTTTCCCTTATGGTACCTAGAAGACACATATGCCAGAGGATTACATAAAACCTAAAACATGTTTCATTATGGTTCCCAGAGTTTCTTCAAAGTATCTTTTTGTCTCCAATAAATTATATATTGAATGGAACCTATGCAGTTGTAAAACAACAGAAACACCATCTTTTGATTCAAAAAAACTCAAACTTTGTAAATAAACATGAAGAAATTATGATATAAACAGCAGTATAACTATCTTAATACTGAACAAGCAGCTTTCTTGGAAAGGTCATCCAGAGGTAATCAAGCAGAGAGAGGTCTGCAAATGCAAGGTGTCAGGTAACTGGTAGAGCAAAAGTATAAAATTTCCAGACATCAGAAAATTGCTTCTGGCATGAATGCTACCCAGCATCAGAGTCAAATACAAGTCCTTTTGACTCTCTTCACTGACAACATTTCCTCCTTCTGCTTTGCAAACCTCCAATAAGAGTTAAAATTTCCCGAGTAACTACTTTAAATTTTTAGAATTCCAAATCACAAACTAAGCTGAAATCAGGCCATGTAGATATACTGGAAAAGCAAAATACTAACACATAGAATAAATCCTTCAGAAAGCCCAGAAAAAAAGCCAAATATAATAATTTTGTATATGACAAAGATGGGATTTTATTTAAAAAGCATGGTTCACTGGTTTAGGGAAAACCAACAGTTTATCATTTGAAAGAGAGGAAAAAAAACAGATAAATTCCTATCTTCCATGGAATCAAGCCAGATAAATTAAAGTTTGGGTGTAAATAATTGAAACAATAAAAGTGTAAGAAAACAAAAGGCAACATTGAAATGCTCTATAGATAGGGAAGCATAAGAAAGGCCAAAACTATCAAAAGACTGAGAGATTTAAACACACAGAAACATTAAAGTTCTGTAAAGAAAAACTAAAAAGGAAATTGATGAACTGTGAAGTTTAACATGGTATCAAGTAAGATAAAGAGACAATAACCCAACAGAAAAGTGAGTAAAAATATAAGGTCTTGGTTGGAGGATCCAAGATGGTCAAATAGGAACAGCTCTAGAGTGCAGTTCCCAGCAAGAACGATGCAGAGTGTGAGTGCCCACCACATTTCCAAACAAATTTTCACTGCCCGCAGACCAGGAGATTCCCCAGCCAAAAAGTGCCAGTTTTCAGCATGGCGATTTCAGCTGATGCCGGGTTGGCACACAGAAACTCACACAAATCTGGGCGGCCATTTTAACTGGTGCCTTGAATGCCTGGAGACAGAGCTGCCCATTCAACTGAAAGGGAGTGGGCAGAGACAGGGAGCCAGGCAATCTGGCTTAGTGGGTACCACCCCCACAAAATAAGCAATCTGAAACCCTCTGGATTGAGAGTTTCGCAGCAAGCACAGCTGGATCTAGGAGGGTCCCACTCAGTGCGGGGAAGGGCAACCACCACTACCAAGGCAGTCCACCAATAACGAGGCAGTCCACCAATACCGAGGCAGTTCACACAGCAGCTGAGCAGAGCCTGTGGCAGCTCAGCAATGCCTCTGCTGGCAGACTGTGACTAGACTACTCCGTGTGGGGCAGGGCATCTATGAAAAAAGGCAGCAGCATGACAAGAACTTATAAATAAAGCCGACCTTCCTAGGCCAGAGCACCTGGGAAAAGAGGCTGTTATGAGTTCTGCCACAACAGACTTAAAAGTACCTGCCCAGCTGCTCTGCATGGAACAACGGAGCTCTCAGCACAGCACTTGAACTTCTATAAGGGACTGACTGTCTCCTCAAGCAGTCCCCAACCCCCATATGACCAAAGAGACACCTCAGAAAGGAGAGCTCAGGATGACATCTGGCAGGTACCCTTCTGGGATGAAGATAATAGAAGAAGAAACTGGCAGCAATCCATACTGTTCTGCATCCCTCGTGGGTGATCCCCAGGCAATCAGGGTCTGCAGTGGACCTCCAGCAGTACTGCAGCAGAGGGGCCTGACAGTTAGAAGGAAAATGAAAAAAATGGAAAGAAATAACTTCATCATTAACAAAAAGGATGTCAACTAAGAGACCCCATCCAAAAGTCACCAACTACAAAGGCCACAGGTAGATAAAGTCACTAAGATGGGAAGAAACCAGTGCAAAAAGGATGAAAACATCACAAACCGGAATGCCTCTCCTCCTCCAAAGGATCCCAACTCCTCGCCAGCTAGGGATCAAAGATGGATGGAGAATGAATCTGATAAATTGACAGAAACAGGCTTCAGAAGGTGGGTAATAACAAACATCTCAGAGCTAAAAAAACATGTGCTAACCCAAAGCAAAGAAACTAAGAACCTAGGAAAAAGGTTAGATGAGATGCTAACTAGAATAAACAGCTTAGAGAAGAATATAAACTATTCGATGGAGCTGAAAAACACAGCACTAGAACTTTGCAAAGCATACACAAGTTTCAATAGCTGAATAGACCAAGCAGAAGAAAGGATATCAGAGATTGAAGATCAACTTAATGAAATAAAACGAGAAGGCAAGAATAGAGAAAAAAGAGTGAAAAATGAACAAAGCCTCCAAGAAATATGGGATTATGTGAAAAGACCTAATCTACATTTGGTAGGTGTAGCTGAATGAGACAGAGAGAATGAATCCAAGCTGGAAAACACCCTTCAGGATATTATCCAGGAAAACTTCCCCAATCTAGCAAGCCAGGCCACCATTCCAGGAAATACAAAGAACACCACAAACATATTCCTCAAGAAGAGCAACCCCAAGGCACATAATCATCAGATTCACCAGGGTTGAAATGAAGGAAAAAATGCTAAGGGCAGCCAGAGAGAAAGGTTGGCTTACCCACAAAGGGAAGCCTATCAGACTCACAGCAGATATCTTGCAGAAACCCTACAAGCCAGAATAGAGTGGGGGCCAATATTCAACATCCTTAAAGAAAAGAACTTTCAACCCAGAATTTCATATCCAGCCAAACTAAGCTTCATAAGCGAAGGAGAAAGAAAATCCTTTATGGACAAGCAATTGCTGAGAGATTTCACCACCACCAGGCCTGCCTTACAAGAGCTCCTGAAAGAAGCACTAAGCAAAGAAAG